AAGTAAATTGAAAATGATGCATTTGGCGCGGACCCATTCCGTTCTTGTATGCGCCATGCAGTGACCCCACTCGGAGTCATTGGGAAGGTGTTTTGTCCTAGTGACGACTTGCTTAAGCACACCAAAAGATATTTCCAGTATTAACTAATTAGGATAACTCTTGTGGTCATAGTGATGTCTGATCATTCCTTTATTCAAATCGCTTCCTTTCCAACCCGTTCTGATGAATGACACGCTTGCGGTTGCAGGATATTATTTGCATTAGGCTAACTACAACACTTGTGAAATTAATGATGACAGCAAATAAGTGGCAGCAGCACCGTTGTGTCCGTTGATGAACCTTTTGATTACGACCCCCTCCCAACTCTCATCGGAGCAAATACGACCCCCTGTCGAGGATTTCCTCGACCGTTATTCACCCTGCTTTCTTGGTTGAATAGTCTTTCCAATAAATGGTGGTACTGGTGAACAAACGAGAGGACAACTACTCATTTGAAAACCCCAATGAATGTAAATATCAGCACAGGGTGAACAAACATAAATAAAGAACAACATAAATATGGTGTCAATGTAATCATGGTACAGAAAGTGCCGTGCGAACTTCACGCAATCCAGGGGTAAGTATAATTATGAAGGAGAGGGGAATGTAGCTACTACAAACGGAGGCTGGGCGCCTAAACATAAGGAAGCGAGAGGTTGTATTTTCTCGGTAAGAGGCGTCCATAGCCTCGTATTGAGGCTTTGCAAATTCCTCTAGGCGCCTTCGTACTTCTGCTCGTCTCCGATCAGGATCAACAGTCCGTTTGCACTATTCGAACGAGGGCATTTGTGATTTCGAGGAGGGGGTCCATTTTTGGGTTGAGTGAGGTTTGAGGCCATTTCGAGGAGGGGGTCCATTTTTGGGATTGAGTGAGGTTTGAGGCCAACTGCTGTTGGTGGCGGAGCATACACCGGAAGGGGTGGAGTCATCCACGAAACATTGCAACTCGGTTCCAAAATGTCCTGGAGACCGGAAAAAAGTGGAAGGAGTCCGACAACGGAAGGAGGTTATATACATACTATTGGTGGGTGGAGCGCGCAGCGAGGTGGGAGAAGTTTGCCAGAAAGCATTACAAAATATTGATGGTCCTGTTTTACACCACTGCAGTCCCGTGTGATGCAGGCGAATTCGTGCACAGCCAAACTGGTTGTTGTATAAGCTGCCATGATGATGAGGGTGGCGGTCCGAGAAGGGGGAAGGGGATTCATATTGGAGGAGCCTTCTAATAGTAGGGCTGATGGTGGTAGTGAGGGGTCGAACCTAGGACTCCCTAAGGGGGTCGCAAAATTTTCGAAAAAGTGCGAACGCGACGGTTGACCCTGTACGATCGCTACTGGTCCCTCCTCGTCGAACTCTCGCAGTTCTAGAGAAACAGAGCAGTACGTTCAACTTGATGAAGTCCGAGGCAGTGAGACTCGATCTCAGATTCTAGGCTGTTTCTCATAGTCTTTTCTTGGGTACCCCCAGGAGGCCCGTCGCGCGGCAAGAAGGCAAGTCAGCGGACGAGTCGCGCGCGTACTATAGGGATTTCGCGTCAAGTTAAAAGAGTGTCCCATTGCACGTCCTACATCGCACATCACGCGCTGCAACTCGTCCGACGACTCTGCCTTCTTGCCGCGCGACGGGCCTCCTGGGGGTACCTTTTCTTTATCCCGGCACCGGTGACCGCATCCACGTTATTTCTGATGGGCTGTGGGCGCAGTGTTCCTCCTGGGGGAGGGGCAGTCTGTAGGAAGGCCACTAGGACTATGCTGACGCATAGATTAGTTCTAAAACTGAGCATTTGCGCGAATCTGACGCAATGTTACGGTTGCCCACTCCCCCCCCCCCCGGGAGCCACGTTGTGACACAAGAATCTTCTTCAGCATCATTTATGAAGGGTTGCCGTAACCCAAACAGGTCGTTTTACAATTCTTTTTTCTCATTCCAACGATTCAACTTCTACAGTGCACAAACGTGGTGTCACGATGTTTTGTGTACAACTTAGGTGTATCTCTATCTAATATAAGCCCTTGGATTTCAAAATTCCTGTGATTCCTTACAACGTCACCTACGTAACTGTAGTAAATCTGGTGAACAGTACCATAACGTAGGCATGTGTTGTACTCAATCTTTTTGTGTGCTGAGAATACACTCACACCCACTGCATTATTCGAAACCAGCACACAAACACTACATTCATCAAAAGATGCAATGAAACTCCGAATTTCCGAACACACACAATGAAACACTTCTATCACATGAAACCCAATTTGCACTTGTTTATCGTGAAGTTTGGTGCAGTGCGTGTGGCTACCGCCACATAACATTTCAGCTCACGTCCTTTGGGTTACGGTAGCCCTTCATAAATGCTGAAGAAGGCTTCATGTCATTGACAAGATTGTCATTGTGCCGGGCTGCTCCCTAATAGTCAACTTCGCCTCTGGGAGTGTTTGGAAAACTTCTGAAATCAGCACAACGGATGGCAAAGATTCCTTTTTCAGAAAGCGTGAAGTACGATGTCGTCGATGTGATTGCGTACACCAAGTCCTCATCTCCAACATCCTCAGCAGGTCGCACGACCTTCGTCCGCTCGTACTCGTCAGCTTCTTGTTTTGTGACTTGCGAATCACGTAAGTTTTCTATCATTTTGTTCATTTGAGGATCATATTATGTTCATCCAGGTTTTGTTTTCGAGTCATATCGAGGCTAGCATGGTAGTTTTTATGCCTGATTCCATCACCGTCCCTCTTTTTTGTTTCTTCTTCTTTTGCAAGCATTCCTTTACGTTTTTCTTCCTTCTAATAAGGGAAACGGTGAAGCAAAAGTTCAGTGTGATTTTATTGAGCATAGTTTAACATATAATCCTATTGTCTTTTTAACATTTACTCAACGAGGGTATGAAATTCTACCAGTAACCAAAAGTTAGTCGAAGGAGTAAATTTAGTTCAGGAGAGTAATGCCTCTGGGCCTTTTCGGCTCTACTTCAAAACCGCAACCTTTGACAAGCATTGATAGTGGTGGATACAAAGAGAAGAAGGAAGGTCTTGAAAAAGATGGTCGTGGCACCGTACTTCGCTTGGAAAAGAACACTGTCACTATCGAAAAGAAGCTCGCCGAAGGTATTTACAATGGTCATATTTGTATTTGTTTAGCTTTTTTTAGACACCGAGTTGCCATGCAGTCTTGTGTTAGGTTGGTACATGATATCGCAGTGATTGTCCTTGTGCGTTCAAAATGAATCTACAGTTTTATCCGAGAAACTACCTATTCTGAGAGTACTTCTTTCGCTTTTAAGTAATTGATTTGCCGCTATCCCATTACTGTTACTATGTATTCAGACATAGGGCTCAGAAAATGGACTGCCCGGGCGACAACGTTGTTTTCTACAAATGCTATTTTTAGTTTCCAGGGAGGCCAAGTAACGCTCCGGTGTTGCACACTGCACTAGGGTGAAAACGCCGCAAGCGATGGCACAGTTTAGGTCCAAGTTACACATTCCTAGAAAATCAACATTTATATTTGTTAGCAATAAGAACCGATAGCTGTGAGAAATGCTTCTCAAAAGAAGAGCTCTTCATGGCGTGAAATGGGTTTTGCAACTGGAATGACGCCATCGGCGATGGCGCAACGCTCCGATATTCTGTGCAACCCAATAGAGTTGCATTATAAGAATCTCACGTAGTTCTTAGCATTCGCGACTGGTGCTTTTTGTGCAGTCATTCATATGCTCATCTTTTATAGATGTTGTACTATTCAAACTTTGAATAGTGAATGTCTCACCATTTCTCATTCCGACTTCACACATATTCAGGAGGATTCGCGATCGTTTATCTAGTTACTGACAAAAATAATCGGAAGTATGCGCTTAAGCGTCAATTCATCAATGACGATAACAAACAAGTGGACGCATGCCGAAGGGAATTCCAAATCATTGTAGGTTTTTTGCGTCTGTATTGCAATAGGGTCGCTTAAATATGTATATTTGCATTTTTATACGTAATCCCTGTGTAAGGAAGAGTTACATCCTTGCAGGTTTCCGGAATGGTTTTTTTGGAGATATTTTCGTTCCAACCGTCCTAAATTCAACCAATAAGTACTGAAACAGAATTTTGTGACAGTGAACCCATGATTATTTGCCTTATTGCTCAGAATCGCCTTTTAGTTTTCCAGATTTTTACATCTTAAAAAGAGCTTATGACCCTTCATCAAATCTAACTATTGAACCTTGATCCCAGTGTGGCTAGGGGGGATGGGATGGGGTAGTCTGTAACACTGCGTCAGGATTAAGGAAACGATCAGTTTTAGGATTACGTCTTTCTGAGGAGGACAAGAGGGGTTTCGGGATGCGTAAGCATTTTTCACTCACAGCAGTTCTTTTCTTTTCGAGATTTCAGTGCTAGGGGCCTTCCTACAACGCCGAGGCGCGTTGCACCGACCCGTAATTTTTACCTCTGTGAATTACACCATTAACTTTCTCCTTTTTTAGAGTAGTTTGAAAGGGCACAAGAATATTGTCAGCTATGTGGATCACATTCTCACCAAAAATAAGTCTGGCATCTACGATTACATGCTCTTAACGGCTTATTATAAAAGTGAGTTTTTTGTATAAGGTATGTCTTTATCTAGGCCGGAGGTATCATTGCATTGGAGCTGTTGTAGTTTCCATGTTTAATGACGAAGCAAGTGCGTTTGACTTAAGCCCACTTATGTGGGCCATGACCTAAATGCACCATTTCCTACAAGTCCAGTTTTGAGTCCGTGTCGTTCTTCTAGATCTTACTTCTTCCATTCTTGAAAAACTGTGTCTGGATAGTTGAGAGTGGAGATCGCGCAAAACCTTTTTCGCTTATGTTGCATTCATAGTCGATCATCCTAGCATTACTTACGTATCAATCGTCCGAACACCTGTCGACACATCTTCGATCGATACGTATCCAATGATGTGTGATGGTTATGATCGTCACGACAGACTATGAATGCCCTCTTAATGTTCTGCTAATTTAGGACTCATATTTCCATATTTCTTGCATTCCAGTCACGATGTAAAATTTTGCACTCTAGAGAAAAAAAAACCACTCTCTTGAAACTCACGTACCACTTTTATTTTAATGAGCTCTAAAACGTGATCCACTGTTTAAAAAACAATCTCACCTTATGTTGAGATTTTTGATTGCTAACTGCTGTTTCGACACCAGTTTGCCTTGTCATAGTTTCACAAGAATGCTGAGTAATGAACAATACTTCACGCCAGTCGGGACTCGAGCCTGCACCTCTCGCTTACCGGGTAAGTGTGCTACAAGTTATGCTTTCGGGGTTTTGCCTTAACTCAGTTTTTCACCTTATGTTTACCATTGCCTGCACCATTCAATAACGTGGTGAGCCGGTAAGCCGATATTGGTAGTGAACCGCAAGGCTGGAAGCTTTGGCATTTGATCTTGACTTGTTTTCGGTTGCGGGTTCGAGTCCCTCCCGGAGCAGAAGTTTTGTCCACAATTTGCATTCTTGTGAAGTATCCTTTCATCGCAATTTTTAGGACAATTTTATTTCTATAACAACATATCTCTAGATGGGATATAGATCTAGATGAGGCTCACTGATTGAGATTAAAATCATTATCCATATTATCCTCGCTTATTATCCTCGATATCCTTGCTAACAAGAATGGGGTACA